TATAAAAATACATGAAGAATCGAAACCATATTTTAAAAGATGAATCATTAGACCTTTAACTCGATTTAAGCTATTAAGAATGACCAATTCAAATCTTAGATCGAGAGATAAAATAAATAAGGAAGAAATAAATTCCTCTTGTAAAAATGTTATAGAGAAATCATAACATAGAGGAAGCCATTTGGGAATGGAAGGAAAAGATGAAGACAAAGTATCTCGAATTATTTAGTTAGGGAATTTTGAGGATGGAATTTTGTTAAAGAGGGAAGGATGTAATATCCGTGACCTAAAACCCTCCAAAAATATAAATGTATCGTATAGATATTTTATTTAATGAATGAAAGTATATTTATTAAATGTGTGAATAAGATTTAACCCTTAATTAAGAATAAAGTAAATATAATTATGATCGAAAAGAAATATCAATGGAATGAGGAAAGATTGAATTAGAGATTGGTATCATAGACTATTATGGTTATTCTTTGACATAAGGGCATAATCGTAAAGATTAAAAGTTTAGGTCCTTGATTGAAATGGTTAAAAAATTTAAGGACTAGAATCATCATTGGAATAGGCCTAGGATGGGGGCTAAATTGATGGAAATTGTTAAGTTATGGACTAGAATTGTATGATCAAACTTTAAGGATTAGAAGTTCAAAGACTAAAGTGTAAAATATTAATCTTGTGATGGACCTATTAATTGAATTTAAGGGATAACTTTTAGGTAGAGAATTATGGAAATTTCAAAGAAAAAGAGAGGGAGAGAGTCGAGTTAAGGAGGAAGAAATAAGAGAAAATATCTAGGGTAAAAAGAGCAAGAAAAAAATGAAAAAAAAAAAATCAACAAGCAATTAATGACTAGCCTTGAGATTAATCTAAGTGTGACACATTGGGATTAATCCTATGGAATAACCCTAGCTATAAATATAGAGGAAGAAGAAGAAAAAGGGTTACAAAACCTAAACATCTAAGTAGCCTTAAAAGAAAAGATACACCAAGCAAGGAGAAACCACTTAACCACTAGCCCCAACCATCTTGTTTAGTCTAGAAACACTCTAAAATAACCTCCAAACTATCTTAGAGGATTAAGCAAGGCAAGGGAAAAATTCTTCATCTTGGCCAAAATTCTTTGAGGAAATGAGGAGGTAGGAACCAAGGAAGAAAAGAGAAAAGGTGGCCAAATTCTAAATAAGGTAAGTTTAATCCTCACTCGCTCCATAAGAAATTAATGATTTTGATATGTGATTGATGTTAATTTAAGCTTTATTTGATTAAGGTTTAATGAATAAATTGTTAAGTATTGCCTTGTGATGGTTGAATTGAAATGATTTAATGATGCTTGTGTACTAATGATGTGAGAATTGAATGACTCGGATTGATAGAATTCATATGTTTTCATGTTGTCCTTGTTCCAAGAAAAAGGTGGAGGGATGACCTTAAACTTGTATAATTTGGTGGTCATATTACTTAATGCCTATATAATGTTTAATGGAATGCCTTGGAAATATTTAAGAAATTAAATTGAAAGAAATGGAAACTTGATCACCTTGTGGTCAATTTTGGCCAAGTACAAGGTTTTCATTGATTAGTAGAGTGAACCTACTTGATGCTAAAATGATGAGAAAATATATTAGACTAAGATATTTAAGGTCACATTTTGAATTAAATGATTGAAGTGAAGGTTGTCCTTCCATTGGGCTAATTTCGGCCAAGTATGGAAAACAAGGGACAAAAAGGTTAATGTGAGGCAAATATTCATTGTGAGGTTAGAGGTACAAAATGTTATGAAAATGATTGCATCCACGTGAAGAATGAGTGATTATGTTGCTTATTATATTTAGCCATGATGTGTTAAATGATGTTATCCATGTTCATTATTTTTTCATGATGCATTTATGTTTTGCATGCATACTTGATTGATGTGGAACATGCATTTAATTTATTTTGTATGTTACACATTCTCGAGGATTTAAAAAGATGCATGTTGAGGTTTATATTTAATGCATTGCATTTTATTTAAATACATATACACATCATAATCATGAAAGAGATTTTACATTCATGATTTTGATGAAAGGAAAAAGGAAAGAAAAGGTTTTCAAAAAGAAATGGCTTAGTACCTTCTTGAGGTTTGTGGGAGAGGAATGATCACTCTCTCTTAAGGATAATGGGCATACTTTGTTTGTTGAGGTTATGGAAAGGTACCTAGTACTTTTTGTGATTTTTCATAAATTGCATGTTTTTACAAAGGGTCGATTATATACACAATTGGTAGGGTATGTCCGAAGAGGAAAATGAATTTCAAAATGCATGAAAATATTTTTATAAAAATTGCATCATGTGTATCACATGCATTGCATGGATTACACTTACTAGGCATTGCATTGCTCACCTTTGTTTCTTATAGTATAGGAAAAAAGAAAGATGAATGAGGAGTTGTCGTTAAAACATGCAAAGGACTTGCCTTTTGTATGCTTAGGGTGAAAAGGAATAAGAACCTTACTTGGCTTAACTTGATTTTGGTTATATGTATATGATAATGAGTTAAGCAAATTTTGGTACGATAGTTAATTAAGCAATTATTGTTTTGTAATAATGAGTGTATGACTTGGATGTCAAGCTTAATGTTATACCAAAAGTTGTTAATTAATATGGTCAAATTGAAGTAATAGATTATGGGAATGAATTGAATAAATTAAAGGCATAATAAAGTTAAGATTTAAATGGTTTCCCTAAATTAATAACTAATGAGTTAAGAGTAAAAGAAGCAAGGTAAGGAATTAACAAGAGTTTGACAAAAGGTGTACTAAGATTAAGACTTCAAAGGAAATCAATAGATAGGGAATGAAGACATATATGGGATAGTTTTAAATAAATTAGGAACCAAAATTTCTTAAGCTCCAAAAATGTTTTAAATGGCCAAAATATTGGTATAAGTTTAAATGAATTTATTAAAGGCTTGGTTGAATCTTAGAAAAAGTTATACCTAAGATTTAGTTAAGGTGGACCTAGTATCTCATACCTATTGGCGACCTCACATATGAATTGCTCACTTCGCTAATGAACCAAAAATGTTAAGAGAGGAGGCTTCTTGGCTTGCATTTATTACACTTCAAATGCAAGTCAATGCTAGTGATATCCTTGACCTATTTAGATCCTAGATTTTGGGTGTTACAAATTAACCTAACAATTAACAAAAATAAACAATTTAATAAATTAATTAATCAAATAATGATTAAATATATACACAATCATAAACCCAGTAATTAAACTTAAATTAACCTAAAAAATATAACAAACTCCTAACTTTAATTAAGAGCATAAGGGAGAGAAGAACATACATAATTCGGGTGAAATTACACCGGGAGGAGGGAAGAAAAAAACAAGGGTTTTTTAAGAAAAAAACCTTGGAGTGTTTAGGAATCAATTGAGAGTAAATGAGTGAAGTTTGGTGGTGTTTGGAAGGGATTGGAGAAAGGTGACGATCGCTAGTTTTGGAAAGGGAGAAGAAATCGAGGGAGGAGGAAGAAGGAGGAGGTTAAATTAGCACCGGAACTTAACAACAAGAGCAATCCTATCTCTAGTCCATTGCTAATATGTGTCTAAATGGATGCTTAATTCCAAACAACTGGACACCTATTTTTTCACATTTAGCAACTAATTTAAGTGTACATCGCTAATCTATCTCAATTTGTTAGTATCCGTCGCTAATTTGTCGCAACATTGATGATTTTTGTCGTTTAAAAGCTCGAGCTCAATTTTGCCCAAAAATCTCCCATTTAGCAATGGATTTTATCGTCACTAAATTACAAGAGAATTGTAATTTAGCAACAAATATTAGATCGTTAAATCGTTAGAATGAAAATAACGATAGATTTCTAATCCGTCGCTATTTTTCCTTATAAATCCATCGCTCGACCATCTCTAAAATACCAAGGAAGATTATACTGACAAATTTAACAAAGGATTTATGTCCGTCGCTAAAATATAGTCGCTATTCCATCGTTAAATTCAACAATCGCTATTTTCTTTCTATTTAGCAACGAACTTGATTACGTCGTTATTTAGCAAATTTATTGTACTATACCTAATTGCAAGTGTATATTAATTACTAATTAGGTATTAGAATCTATCTTGGATAGGGTATGTGAAATCTTTTCAAAATAAGTGAATGGCTAAAATATTAGTAGACCTTATTTATTTAATTAAAAACTTAAATTAAGCTTTATGAATTAACTTTATCTTTTATATTAAAAGAAAATCGATAAATCATGTTCAAAAGAACATGAAGTGATTCCACACATACACATATATATACACCTTAATGTTAAGAAGGTCTACTCAATTCTTTCACTTTCAAGATTAAAATCTTGAAGATATCATTGAAAATTTTTTATTAAATTTACCTCGATGCATCGTGTCAATGAAAGAGGATGGATCCTTTTGATAATCGAAAAAATAATTAAATTTTAATTAATACGTAAATGAATTCAAAAATATCTTTATCGTTAAACAAAAATGAAAAAAAAATTGGTTAGCTATCACCTCAAAATCACCAAATAAAAAACAAAGTATAATTTTCAGACTTTTGAAAGCTGAAACTGAATAAAGTAGTATTAGAATTAAGCCCGAAGTTTAGTAATGTAGCCCCAGCCCACTCCAAAGCCCATTTTTGTATAAAAATTTTGTGAGCCTGAACAGGTAAAGTCAGGTCCACAAATAAACCCTAAAAATATCTACCCATCTGCTTCATCTACTACCCCTCAGCTGCCTAAAACCCTAACCTTCCCTAATCCCTTATATCTCCCTGCACTTCTCTTATCGGCACCTTTTTTCAATTGGGTATGCAACTAATTTTCATTCTTCAGGTTCTTTGCGGTTCGTCATGAATTTCCAGTTTGTGTTTTTTCTTTATTGGTTATGTGGATTGATTTTTCAAAGTTTAATTCTTTTCTTTCTTTTTTTGGTTGTGAAGGCTAAATTTATTGTGAGTGAATAAAATGGTTAGGCATTTTGGTAAAGGGCACAAGAGAAGGAAGAAAGGGGAGAGGTATGATAAAGACGAAGATGAAGTGGAAGATCAACAAGTTGAAGAAGAGCAAACTGATAGTGAGAATGAATTGAGTGCTCAAAATGGTGAAGGAAAAACAGAAGAAGAAAAAGAAATGCAACTATCAGAAGTAGAGGGCATTCCTATTGTCCCAAGTGATCAAACTGGCAAGAAACCTGGGGTCATATTTGTGCTCGAAAAGGCTTCTTTGGAAGTTGCAAAAGTTGGAAAGGTTTACAGACTATAACTTTTCATTTAAATTTTGGTCTAGAAGTAACTCATTGGAATCATCATATGGCTTAATGTGAGTTTTTTAGTAGTGATGTAGAGGTTGGGGGGATGTTTTATCATGTGGTTGGAATGTTTTCAGTTTCGTCTGACTAGTTTTGTTTGTACAGAATTACCAAATTTTGAATTCTGAGGAGCATGCCAATTTCCTGAGGAGGAATAAAAAAAATCCTGCTGATTACAGGCCTGACATTATTTATCAGGTTAGTGCATTTTATTTTTTAAGGCACTTGTTCTTCAGTGATTTTATATATATACCGGTGAAATTTCTGTGATTTTTATGCCTTTTTGGTTAGCCTAACCAGCAGTCAAATTCCTGACTCATGATGTTTGTTAGACTCTCTCGTAAACAGCCAAACAGTCTCAAAGTTAGCAAGAGTATGCTTACTTCGTTTGAAATATTTTGGTCCTTGTATTAATACTATTGTTGATAATTTCAGGCTCTCCTATCTATCTTAGATAGCCCATTGAATAAGGCTGGTTGGTTGCGAGCTGTATATGTGAAAACAGATAAAGGTGTTCTTTTTGAAGTTAAGCCATATGTTCGTATTCCAAGGACTTATAAGCGTTTTGCTGGTATTATGTGTAAGTTCAGTTGATTGCCCCGGAGACTTCTGTATGATGTTGGAATATAGCCCTTCTCGTTTTTATTTGTGAATCTATGTGTAAGTTCACCTCCTTACCGCCTTGTTCAATATTGCAGTGCAGCTGCTTCAAAAACTGAGTATAGCTGCTGTCGGTAAGCGTGAGAAGCTTTTGCGTGTGATCAAGAATCCTGTAACACAATACCTACCTTTAAACTCTCGTAAAATAGGTGAGCATGGATTTTTATGGGTTTCTGAGTCATGGACAGTTATAAGGAGTGATATATGTTGTTTTTATATCAGGTTTCTCCCATAGCTCCGAAAAATTGGTCCAAATGGATAAGTATGTGACTGGAGTTGGTGATGACATGGACCTTGTTTTTGTGGTATGCTCAACCTTTGTACTAAATATACTCTTTTGAGAAACTTGTAACCTCTCTGATCTCTCCCTCAAAAACAATTTCAGGTTGGTGCTATGTCCCATGGTAAAATTGAATGTGATTACATAGATGACTTTATATCAAGTAAGTTCTTCCTAAATTCATTTCTTTAAGATCATCTTATGCAGAAATCATGCACACAGTGAAATCAATAGTGATCAGATTAGCTTCTGATAAAGAATTTAGACCCCAAGTTCATGTAACAAAAAGACACAAGGGAAAATATTTTTCGGAAGGCCTTATTCGTAAACATATCTGTTTAGCCTAAAGCATTTGCCTAGAGTATTTGATCTGAATCTGCACAAACCAATTGGTTACCATTATAATGCTTTGCGGTTTCACTTCAGAACACGTCTGAATATCCTGTAAATAAATTTGCATCCTAATTGTTGTGAAGCTGAGACATCATCCTGCTGAATGCCCTCTTTATATTTGACATCTTGGGTTTTTTTTAAGCTGAAATCCTAATCATTTATGTTGTCTCCCCTTTCAGTTTCTGAATATCCGCTGAGTGCTGCCTGGTGTATTGCAAGGGTATGTGAGGCTGTGTCAAAGAAGTGGCATGTACTGTAAACGTTTATGTTTCTGCATTCGATTGACGATATTGTTATTTGGTAGTGCATAACCAGTTTTGAAGAACATGTAAAGCCAAACAGCAGCACGAAAACAATTTGAATGGCAATTTTCATTTCATGTTGATGGTAGAACAATGATACACTCGTGCTTTACATATTCACTAAAGAGCCCCTGTGTATACAGATTTATGTGTATGTATCTGTAAAATGAAGAAGCTCATCAAAGCCAATCGGTTTGATCGTAAAGCGGTTTGATCATAAAGCAATTCCACTAGTTCCCAGATAACTTGATGAAATTTAATGTTTACTCATAAATTTTCTACTCTATTTCGTTAGACAAATCGTGTTAATGTACATATTGACAGTAGTAAGCTGCTGTATGTGTGTCCTGGATCAATAATTTGCTAAGATACAAAAAATGATAAAACCAACTATTGCTTCGTGAGGTTGATTAATGATCAGTTCTTTGCTCTGCCGATGCAGCGATTTGCTTCTTGAGGTTGAGGATCTCAATTCCATAGGAAGCTAACCGGTCCTTCAGCTTCTTTGAAGCCACCTCGTATTTTCTGTTCATGAATTCCAACTCATTTACTGCTTCTTTGTATCTGATATGGAAGGCATCTGACTTTGCTTGTGTCCCGCGAAGCCTCATTTTAAGTTTTGCCTTTTCCTTGCGGTTGATGGCTTCGTCCTGTTTAAGCATTAAAGAAACACGTGAAATGTTTCACTAGTTCAACAATGGCGTGCTTGAAGGTGCATGAAGAAAATAAATACGGCTAACCGACACATTTCCATGTTTGAGGGGTCAGTGGATGGGGAACTCGTCTTTTTAGGTTCGAGAAAGAAAAGGCATTAAAGTTCTAGACAAAAGGAAAGAGAGTGGAACTTGAGAAGTAAAAACACGTTACGTGAAAAATAAGAAGATTTACATGATATTAGCATGCTGACCAACCAAAATCAATTTAAAAGGTACAAAAAAATAAATGGAATGGAAAGACAAGAAGGGTTAGGTTATATGTAGTTACCCCATTGTAGAGCAACTTAAAGAGCATTTCTAACTTGGTTTATTTTAGAAGAAATGTCAGAGCCACTGGAATGATTTTCATGCACGCAACTCAGGAAAAGCCTAATTCATCATGCAAGAGTAAAAAAAACGCCCTTCAGGGAACCATGTGCATGTGAAAAGTGATCTGTTAATTTGTGTTCCTTACTTTTTTGGTCTAATCATTTGAATTGAAGAAAATTAACTTGTCTTTTAGGCGGAAGAGTAGCAGCTGAACATTTACTTGATAAGGCACAGCCTCTTTGATTCCGGGATAAAACACAAGGGTGATGCTAAATTTTGAATCAGATGAATACAAATATGTAGGTACTTACATTCTTCATTTTGGCCTCCATGCTAGAGATTCTCCCATTCAGATCCTCAACTTGAACTTTTGCCTCCAGTAACTGGAACAAAGTCACAGTATCAGACCATTCTTAGATAAATAGACAGCCAAATCAACAGAAGAATTAATAACCAACCTACCATGTCATCACAATGTCTCATCGACTTGTCCCTTTCACTTGTTATACTGAGTAGTTGGTTTTGAAGATTCTGTCAAAAGAACAGGTGACCCCCATAAAATCAAAATTTTATGATTAAGATGCTAACATCTGTTTCTCACTAGATTGAGAGAGAAAGAGAGGAGGGAGATTTGTCCTTTTCCCTTTTTTTTTTTTTCCAAATGTTCGTTCGTTTTGCAAACAATGCATGTAGATCGAACCTGGAAGTTGTTTTGTGGTTCTAATCTTGTATCCAACGCTTTAACTTGAGACAATAGATCTTCTCGCTCCTTGCTCACAATACTCATCTCCTTCTCAAGTGCATTCACTTTCCCACGAGCACAATCAAGTTCCATGGAGAAAGTGTCCAAATCTGATTTCAACATCTGCAGCATACGAGTAAAAAAGAAATTAATTAATTCTGCTTTCCAATCTAGTAATAAACTCTCAATATGTTGTATAATGAAAAATTATCACATGAAAACAAACCTATATCTCACCTCTTGAGATTGTTTGCTCTCAATATCAACCCTTATCAGATGATTTTTCAGTTGATCAATCTCTAGAGACTTCTCTGCACTGGAAGAAGAGTTTTGACTTTGAGGACAGTAATAGCCACAACGCCAACAATAAGGCCACTAACAACTCAAAAATACATCAAACATGGTTATTTAGATTACGATAAACCTTGATTTCTTCTCCCGCTCAGCATTTTCCACGGAACATGCCAATTTCTCTCTGAGGCCCCTGCATTCTTCCCTACAGGACTCCAATGCGTTTCTAACCTATTTTAAGACATTCATAATCAAACTAACAAACAAGTGGGTATTTGCAAAGAAAGCAATCATATACACCAAAAGATATGATGTTCATTCTCAAAACAAATTTGGACGATATAAGCAAATTATGACATTACAGTATCCCAAGAAGACCATGAACACAGCAAAGAAATTGAAATAGAATCACGCAGGCTGACTATTGAAAAATCCTTGTAGCTTACCTCCGACATTGCTTTGGACAATGCTGTAATCTCTGCATTTTGTAACTTCGTGTTTTCTTCTATGACTTCAATGGAAGCTTTCTCTTTGGCAAACCTATATGCCTTTTCCTCCTCCATTTCCAAAAGGGAATCACTAAGTTGCTGCAAAATCAGACAGAACCCCATGACCAACATTCTGCCAATAAAACAAGAACAATAAATTAATTTCTAAGAAATTAGACAAAACATGAGCTTACCATTGCCAACTCTTCCTTTTGTTCTGCTAACAAACTTATAGAACTTTCCATTTTTTGCCGGTCCAATGTGGATTCTTCCAATTTTAGTCTCTGGAGACAGAAAAACGAGTGCACAAAGCAGCACAATAGTATTTTCAACTTTAATGAAGAATCAAAGAAACTGATGAAATGGGAGATGTAAGAGGAAAAACTCACAAGGCGAGAAACATCTTCCTGCAACATATTCACTTCAGCATTTGACATGTTAAGCTTTTCTGTCAAGGCTTCCAACTCTGAAGCCAAACTTTCATTTCTTGATATAGCCTTTTCCTTTTCGTTGTGTGCAGCGGCTAGTTCCTCTTCAAAAGAAGCAATAGTTGCTTCCATTTCAAATGCAAGAACTTCCAACTTTCTGTGATCTTCCTAAACAATACAAAAGCACATGGGAAAACAAAGATAAGGTATAAAACCATCCGCATGATTTATTCAACCAAGGAGGTAATTGACAGCTAGACTATAGATGTTTCAATGCAAGGTGTACGAAGCGTATGAGAATATCCAGATAACCACCTGCATTGTCTGATCAAAAGAAGCTGCAAGACCCTTAGAACTTTTTGGATCAAACATCTTTGAACTCCTGTCAGCCATTGAATCACGCCTTCTCCCAGCCAGTGAGTCACGTTTGCTAATATCACGCTGAAGAAGAGTCTTCTGACCATGCAATCGTTTTACCTCCCTTTCAGCAAATGCTTTTTCACCCTACACATGTGAAGTCCTGAATTATAATCTAAATCAGCAGACTTAATTGGCATGGTAGGAAATTATGCATATAGAACAAAACCTCAAGTTTGGTTTTCTCTTGAACCGCATTCTTGAGCTTGAACTCAGTCTCTTTCAATTTTACTTTTGTTTTCTCAAGATCTTTTCTCAAATTTTCCTTTTCTTTCGCCAAGGAACAAGAAGATAAACATGATAATTCCTTTTGAAGATTTTGAATTTGAGAAAAAAATTCCTCTTTTTCAAAATTCTGTTGTTCTGTCAGTGCCTGTAACAATCAAAGGAGTCAGAAAACTACATCAAGCACTCCAAGTGATGCATACTTGATTTGAATCAAATTAACCAAATAAATAAAGATTCTTACTATCAAGGACTCTTCATAATTTTGAATATTGTGACTCAGTTCTTGTATCTGTTTCTGAAAACCCATAGATTCATTGTACAAAAGAAGCTGCATTGAAAATTTTAATTTATTTAACAAATATGGCAAGAAAAGAAATTTTAATTTTAATTTATTTATCTAGCAAATTTCATTTAGTAATAGGGCCAAAGGAATAGAACTGTGTTATCTCTTTATCACTCTCCTGCATTGAAGAAAGAAACAACCATACCTTTTCATTCTCCACTTCTTCGAGTTTTTGCTTTAGACAATGGTATAGCTTCTCATGACTACTAACAATTAATTCTTGTTCATTAGAGCTCTGGCAGATCGAAACCTTGAAATCCTGCATTGCAATGAATAATGTTATACTGACTGTCTACTAAAACATAGTCTAATATAGTTTCAATGAAAACAAACAGCCTACCACACATCCAGAAGGTATTCACACAATGAACAATCATTAAAAAGAAAATTAGCCGATATTTCAAGATTACTCACTCTTAATGCATTAAATATAGCAGAAAAAATCTGGAAAACGTCATCCAAAAGAGAGGAACAGCTTTCAACAACTTCTGTTGAGTTCTTAACTTCAGACACGATATCTTCAATCTCCAATGAAACCTTTATCAGAGTCAAAACTCACCTCTAGTTAAGAGATTAGGAAAAAGCTTGCTAGGCATGGACCAATGAGTATAAATACAACATAAACATTGTGGACAAACACATATATAAAGTACAGAAAAATATAAAGGACAAGAACTGACTAGGAATGCTCACAGAGATTAAGCCAAAGTAAAAGGCCACATACATCAACAATGCTAAGTTGTTTATGAGCAATCCTTGCCTCCTCTCGTGCACTCTGGAGCTCTTCATGGAGCTAAGAAAACATAATAGAAAAGAGAGAAGCATTGCAAACTTTCAAACAGAAGTAAATACAATAAATTTTACTATACATGCATAGCATAATTGAAGAATGAATACCAATTACCTTTCATTAACCAATGATAAACAAACAGAAGATAGAACTACAGACAATAATATGCATATTGTTCTTTTATTGATCAAAACCATGAATACGTCTTAGAAACAGCAAAGACATTAATAATAAATCATCTTTTGAAAACATTTTAGATAGGTATCTAAAGTATCATGTTCCAAACGTCCATCAATTTGCCCATATCCACATCTTAAAAAATATAGAAAATTCATTGATGGCTAATGCTTACCTCTTCAAACGTCTCCCTAGCACATATACTTTGCTCTGTTGCTAGCTCAACAACACTGTTTAGATTTTGTTGACTCGAGGACTTCTCCATTTCTAACATTTTAATCTAAACAACAAAAAAATAAGTTCAGGTCACATATAGTGGAAACAGAAGATGGAGATTCTAGGAACAGTATGAACCAAGAGAGAAAAACATAAAATTTAAAGATTGAAAAACAAAAGGTTAGGTAAAAACAAAAGAAATTAAGGAGGAACAAGGAGAAAAACAAACCTTTTCTTGAAGTTGTTTGATCACAATAATAGCCTCTGACTCCCTTAAACTTACGTTTTTGTCCAAATTATTGGTACTTTTATTGCTAGCGGAAGTGAGACAATTACTACATTTCGCACATTGAAACAAATTGGCCTCAGCATGCTGTGTTCTTAGACAATCAATCTGTATCTCACTCATAGTTCTCTGCATGAAAAAAAAAAAAAAAAAGTAATTAAACAAATGGAGAAATAACAGAATACCCACATCTCCTAAAAACAGGTATGTTAAAGAAGAATAACGACCTGAGTTTCAAACTTTAGAAGCAAGTCCTCGTATTCCACTTGTATTTCTGCCCATTCATTGTCTTCCTGACACATGAACACATATTAGAACAGATAAATGAGAGGGTATATAAATGAAAAGAAAGGGCACAAACCGCAGGGGAGCCTTTCTTCCTAGGTGGCGCCTTTCTCCTATTTGTCACATGCAATAGTGAATATGGATTAGGAAGGGTGCAGTCTTCTGACGCTTTACTTTTACAATCTTCGCGTTGCATATTGACATCATCTGCAACCAATTCTTGAAATGGTAAAAGCGGTCCCAAATCACTTCTATCTCTCTTTGGTTTTACAGCAGAAGCCCTTGACTGGATATTGGGATCCACCTAAAGCAGAGCAGAAGATTATAAGCTAGCTAATCTGCCTAAACCCAATTGATTGTGATATTCCGTTGCTTTTTTCAACTCATAGTTACAGTGCAAATTCTTGGTTCCAGTCCTAGTTATCAATGTGTTTGATCATCTCAATAATGCCATAGGATAATCCATGACAGGAATCCTATGAATTCTAGTCATTAATCAAGTGAAACTTAATAATACACACAAGTATGAATGCCCTATGCCATGGTTTCCCATATTGTGCAAAGAGTATCAAGATTTCAAATAATAATCCGTTAAGGCAATCCCTAAAAGTTCAAGTCAGTAGACCTAATCAATACATTGAACAGCATAGAAACTCCTAAATATGGGCAGACTGCATAAAGAAATGTGTATTATATTCTATGATTATAGGATACTCCTACTTTAGTTGTCTGAGAACTTCAACCAGATACTGATGTCCACCTTTGTTCGACAATTGAATTTAAAGTTAAAACAGGATTTCAAACTTCCATTACTTATGTATGCTTAAACAATCAATTATAGTTCAGGTTCTTTGAGTGAAGATTGTGCCACGACAGAGCCACACGTAGACCACATAACCTGGTCATCATTTCTTGAGAGATGGCATCCCTTACCTCAACTCATAGATTATGATTAATCCATGTAACAAATAACCATCACTATTTAAAATCAACTTCAACATGCATAGATGCACTCTTGAATTTCAATCTCAAACATGATGTAGCTAAGGATTTCCAGTTTCATGACTTACAGGAGAGAAAATTAAGCATTTTAGTAACAGCAAACATAATACCTGTTGAAGAGTCTCACGTGCAAGATTCCCGGGGCACCATGTGTCTCGTCTCTTACCCTGCAGATTATAATGAAACTCTGTAAGAACCTCTACATAATGGGCTATTTTTTTAACTCATTGTTAGTCTCTCTTCAACAAAAATTTTGCTACTTTTTCAGTTCTGCACTACTAAAACAAAAATTCATCAAATAAATACAGCATGGAAGATACATCAAACATATATTTTTGATGAATTATATTGCAAAAATAAGGAAGTCACACAAACCCTCTTATGTTGATCCCGATTCTCATCCCGATTTGAGTACAAAACCATTGAGCTCAAGTTTTTTATTTTCTCGGCTTGCTTTTGCAGAACCTTCTCTCGTTCAACTTGAGCTCTCTTTTCTTCCTCCAATTCCAAAGCTATGCGTTCCCTCTCCAGTTCAGACTGCAAAAAATATTGTGGCTTCTCAACACAAATAGTTCCATGCAAATGTAAAAATTGATCATAAAAGTCAGATGATTGAACCTGTAATAATGTGTTTCGGAGGTTGAGAATCTCCTTTCCTAGATGTTCAGAATGAGAACCCTGGATTGAAATCAATACTTGCTAAAAAGTGAGTAACTTTCAAAAGAAAAATTGACTACACCTATCCTATTAAGTGAGCTAACCTGTAATTTCTCCCGAAGCTCCTCGATTTCTTTCTTTTGACGCTTTAACAAGGCAGCATCTGTCAAAATCTAGCATGACACAAAATTGAGTTACTTCTCCAAAAGAAAATAACATGACATCCAAAGATGATATGCTGACATCAAACACAAGCTCATATACCAAAACAATTTCTTTATGCCTATCAAACAAAGAACCTCAAGATGCTAATCCACAATGATAAGAGAAATTCGAAAGAACTCGTATATGGAACGGGAAACACCTTTAAAATACCTTCTGAACTTAAAAATCATAAAAAGAAGTACAGTACAGTTTAGATAGTGCAAGACAGGAAAAAATAAAAATACCTCATTCACATGAGCACAATTTGTGACACGCAACGCTCTGCTAGCAAATTGTAGACTGCTCTTTGTCTCGTCTGCATGAATCTACCATGAACAACAGTAATTAGCAACATACAGTGTATGATGAAATCATATTACTCGTGCTTTTAACAATATTGACAAAGATAAGTTTCAATTACTATAAAATATTACCTGTGCAAGAGTTATGTTGCATATTATAGCTGTATTTGCATTTCCACCCAGTGCGGGCTGCAAAATGCGTGTGAGCTTGCTATCTCTATATGGAACATGACCCCTGGATCAAATTTATAACAAAAAAGATTAAGTATACAAAGTAATTCAAAAAGAGAGATATTGTCACAAAAATATAGAACATACCCTTGGCTTTCAGCACCCTCACTCAATTTCTTAATGACAGTGCCAAGTGTCATCAAACTTTTGTTTATGTGTGATCCCTCTTTGAGTCGAACACCTTCTGCCCCAGTTTTTGCCGCACGTTCAGAACCAGCAAGGTCAACCAAATTCTAGGAAAAAACAAAAATACATACTATTACCATTATAGCAACATAAAGAAGCATAACAGCCATAAATGTAAGAGGAAACACAATGCACCGGATCACGCACCAAAACTGATACACGTACAGCATCACATGAGTTGTTAATATCCTCATCCTCAGTTCTATCCCGACTCTCAATAATCTATTCAATAATGAATATAAGGAAAAAGAACGTATAAAACAAACAGCTAAATCAGAGGGAGGGGAATTTGATCCTACCATGCGGAAAATTGTGTGGGACCTACTACTATACAAGTTCATGTTTGTCTCCCCAATGTGCCTGTGAGCTAAAATTCAATGAGGTAAAAATAAAAACCAGTTAATCATCAAAAAGTCACCGTAAAGAATGGGGGTTTCAATCAAAATCCAAAAAGATTAGACAGGAAGTCAAAAGATAACTTGCATTCTCCAAACTGCATAAGGTCAAGAACTTGTTGGGGAGAGGCAACAATTTCTTCACGCAATCCAGCCACGTAAATTCCCCTCTAGGTACACAAAACAAAAACAAATAGTTAGCAACAATCTTGACAATATAACATGCATAATCTCCAGGAAACAGAAATTTGAGTACCTCTATACTTTCATGAATCTGCAACTTTCGATGCTCAGGAGCCAATAAGTCATTAATATCTTCATTATATATCTCCATGTAAGACATTCTCAAAAGAAACTCCCGGTCCACATCCTAATATACAAATTAAAGTCCCATCAAGTAAGATTAATAAAAAGATTTCCTGCAAAATTAAAAATACGTATCTAAATTATTACTAAGTTATTAAATATATTCTTTTGATGCAGGAGTTTATTAGAATGCTCATAAAGACAGCTATTTCTACAAATTTTAACTGTTACCCAGGATGCCAAATTCTCTCTCTCGTGTTTTGCTAATGATCTTTCTCTGTCATAGTGACTTCAACACCATCAATACAATGCACAATCTTTTGAAGAGATTAAAAGGGTCGTCTAGTTTGGCAATGTTACGAGTCAAAGTAAAACTTAATTTTGAAAGGACACGCAGCATCGATTGAATGGTTAATGTGGCGTTGGACAAGATTAGATCGCTGCTACAACAGAATTGGTAACCTGTATAAATAGCTCGCTCGCTTATCGTTTTGCTATTTCTACAAATTTTAATTGTTACACAGGATGCCAAAATCTCGCTCTCTTGTGTTTCACTAATGATCTTTCTGTGTCCTTTTGATTTCAACAACATCAATACAATGCACAATCTTTCGCAGAGATTAAAGGGTCGTCTAGTTTGGCAATGTTACGAGTCAAAGTAAAACTTAATTTTGAAGGGACATACAGGCTGCAGCATCGATTGAATGGTGGATGCTGCGTTGGACAAGATTAGATAGCTGCTAATGATCTTTCTGTGTCGTTGAGATTTCAACACCATCAATACAATGCACAATCTTTTCCGGAGATTAAAAGGGTTGTCTAGTTTGGCAATGTTACGAGTCAAAAGTAAAACTTAATTTTGAAGGGACATGCAGCATCGATTGATTGGTTAATGTGGCGTGGGACGAGATTAGATGGCTGCTACAATTGTATAAATAGTTAGCTCGTTTATCATTTTCATCATCTAAGGACATGTAAAACTGAATTATTTCTTTCCTTTATAAATTATAACTTCGATTCTTCTCTATAAGCACTTAATTCTTGCTACTAGAAATCTGTACCATAAAGAAATGGTATGAAAGCATTTTATTGGCCCCTATAGAGATTGTAGCTCGTCGAAAATTGCGGAAAGAACCATAATCGCAGAAATCAAGAAGCTGGATATTTGGGAGAATTTTAGAAAGGTAATTCAGAATTTTCCCTGATCAAGATTCTAAAGTTCTTGAATTGAAGAATTAATCGTTGGTGTTACTGCCCAGAATACCAGTCCTTTGCGAATGGAGTAAATGGGTTGAGTTTTGGGGGTTAAAAGTTAAACTGGTTTGTACAGAATCGAGGGACTAATTTAGGTCTTACAGAAATCACAATCTTTTGTAAATGCTGTTAATCATTTAGGGGTAAATGGTGATAGTCATGTGGGATTTCATAAGATCAGAATTTTATGCAATTAGAATGCGAAAACAGTTTGGAGTTAATAATACTGGTCAACAAATGATGCAACAAGATTTTCAAGCAATTTGGGAAATAATCTTGAGGTTTTTCCTAATCAAGGAGTTAACATTGGAACGGCAGCAAGATATTAATATTTTGTTAATGGTGTTAATAGAGTGAATCAAAGGAAGGCTTTTAATCAAAATGGATGCCAGAACATTTATGGGGTTAGCAATGGTTGTTGTCAAACTGCATATCAAACTATTACTTTTGTTAATTTTTTCAATAAGTTTGGAAGTTGGAATCTTCTTGGAGCTAACAACGGATGTATGCAGAATTATTTTGGAATTGATAATTAGGTGCAGAATCATTTTAATTGTGCATAACTCAGTATGGGGCTAGTACTAGACAGTTTAATCAAGAACTAGGAGAAAGGGATATTGAAGCAGTTAAAGTAGTGACAGATTTGAAGCAAAGGACGAGATGAAAGTTCTCATGGCAAAATTGAATTGGTGTTGAAGAACTACGTGGAAGCGTTCTTGGATGTTCAAAATCTGATTTTGAGCATAAGGAAGATAATGTAATGGCCGATTAAGATCTTGGTAAACCTGTTCTTGATGCAATTGATGAAGTAGCTAAATTAAAGCATTTAATTGAAGTAAAGAATCAACACCTCTTGGATGATTGCATGATGGATTTGTGGTTTTATGGGGATTGAAATTTCTTGAGAATGGTTCAAAGAATTAGCATGCTGTAGGAAATGGAGTAATAGGTGAGGATGGTTGTGGAGGGAATAACTCCATACACCGGATTGCCTCTATAAGCAATTTCTTGGATTGTTTTAAACCTGATTTACATTGTGCAGTACTTGAACCCACAGATGAGCCACCATGGTTGAGAATGAATGATTTAATTAGCAGCGGCGGTGGTGGAAGTAGTTGTTAGAGAGTAATATAAAACCGTTCCTGCACCTTACTTAATAGTTTAAGCTATTGGGTTGAAATGGTTCTTTGATATGGTATCAAAGTTTTGTCTCATTTCTCTTCTAATTAATTAGGTATAAAATAGTATAGGTCTGTACAAGTTTCAAGCTCAAAGAGGTTTCACTTGAGAGGGTGTTTTAAAGAGTAACATAAAACAATTCATGGAGTTTCACCTAATAATTTAGTCTCTAGACTAGACCAAATAGGGAATTTCAATTGAATTGTGGCATGATGGTTCTTTCACAGTAGTGAGTTGAAGGTGGAAAGGAATTTCAACAGACTGCACCAAATAGGGAATCTCAATTGAACTGTGGCATGGGAATATTGCTCCTTGAATGTGAACATGCATTGCATCAAATGCCTCAATTGGGTTTTGGAGCGATGAATATTTTATATTGCAAGTGAAAAATTGGTTCGCATGCGATGCAAAAATCTGGATTGCAGGTCTTGCAGAAAAGCAAGATGGAATTCCACACGAAATAACTCGGCTTGCAGAAAAGGCCGGCTACAGAAGATTCAAGTTTGGACCACATACTACTAGAGAAGTTCCTAGCTGAATAGTTTATGTGATTTTTGGTATGTGTTGTTTTTGTGGAAGATTGTCATTCCAAAACGGATCGTGATAACTGCTCAGTGTTTAATGCAGGCCACAATATGGAATTTGAGGCTGTGGAAGATGGCCGCAAATTTGATATTCTTTGGAATGTGAAGGTCGGGGGTGGGTGGGGGGAGGGGGAGTGTGGGGTTTGGAAACAGTGCAGCTTTGGAACTGTTTCAATTGGTCTCATTTCAATTCCGCTGATGCTACTCGTAAGGTTGCATTTGATCATATTTCCAGACTTCAACCTTGCAGACAAGGTTTCTCAAGGGAGAGGGAATGGTATGAGTCAAAGGAAAAACATAATTTCAGAGGGACATATGGAACCAATCCAATGGCTGTTACTAATGGAGTTTGTGACATGTGGCATTAAGGAAGATCAGGTAGGTACTATAACAGAGTTGAGAACATTTTAATCATCAAAGGCAATCCAAAACAGATTCCTTTGTCCAAAAAAGAAAGGCTCACTGCCCGCTAAAAGCTAATTAAAAATATCAACGTTAAACAAAAAATCGTGTAAAATCGCAATTAACAAGAAAATTAAATTAAATTAAATTAATTGAGTTAAAATTACCTGTTGTATTATATGAAACAAATCATGCACAGCAAGAGGAATCACACCAGGCTCAGTAGCTGACCCTCGCATTGTATGCGTCTTTCCACTATTAGTTTGTCCATATGCAAATACAGTCCCTAAAAACCATAATCAAAATGTTAATCAGTCCAATTCACGAATTAAAATCTTAATTAATTTCAAAATTCGAAATTTACCGTTGAATCCACGAACGGCAGCAGTAACGATTTCTTCAGTTTTCGCTCTATAAACCTCCTCCGTCTTACACTCTTCCCCGAAAACGCGATCTAAGCAGAAAAAGGTAAAGATTAGCAAATCGGAGGCAAAACCCCAAAAATAAATTTAAAAATGTGAAATGTGAAATTGACAGTACCGAATTCGAATTTATTGGAGTAATTAGGGATGGAAATGGAGTTGCCGGAGATTCTCCATGGAGTAGATTTTTCGTCTTCTGCTGATAACGGTCTTGCTCTAACAGTGACGTGGATTCTCTCCATTTTCGTTTTGGGTGAGAGAGAGAAAGAGGATGCTTCAAGAGTTCGTGTTTGAAAATCTGAAATGCCCTACGGTCTGCCTAATTTTTTGTTTCCCGCCTACGAGAATTATCCCTTTCATTTTAAATTGGATGGATCTAGTTATAGAAATGGGCTTAAGCCCTCTTTGGGCCTACTGTTTTTGGAGCCTTAAAGTTATACAAAATTTGGGCCGGGCATTTATGGGCTTCATACTCAAAAGAGAAAAGCCTAGTGGAGCTCTTTCCCTTTCTTTGACGTGGTTTTATTTGGGTTGACGATGAATATTATCCATATACTACAAGCAATTGCTTAATTAAGATTTTGTATCAAGTTAAGTATTAATTAAATTTTTATGCTGAATTAATTTGCTTATGTGAATTCGTTAAGTTAATTGGATAATCAGAGAATAAGTGTCCTTTAAGCGTTCATTTTTTTTTCTATTTTTTTTATACTTAAAGCATTCATAGAAATTATAAATAATAATGATAATAATAACTCAAGCTGACGAAATAAATTTTTCAAAAAAATTAGTTTTTTTTTATTCTTTTTATAATTTATATAAATGCCTTGAGTGATAAAAAATAAAAGAAAAAAGAATTAATTGGATCAATAGTCTAAGAACACACACCATCTACTTATTTTATTAACTTAAACGATGTTAACCAAAATTATATTAAACAAATGGCTAAAAGGATCTAACCATTCCTAAATTTTAAGTTATTTAAGATTGAATCTTGAAACTTTTTTATTGGTTTTATGAATTCCTGAACTTTGATTTTTCCATTAGAAATCAGAGTATGTGCATGTGAAATTCACTTTTCCACACCTAAAAAAAAAAAAAAAAAATCAAAGCTATCACTAGCCTAAAAACCAATATATAAAACCTGACACTATTGGGGGTCGTCAATCTCTTTTGTGAGAGTTTCACTAATGCAAAATCAAATTGAAGAAATTCCTTCAATCTACTCACCAAGGTGTTCCAATCTATCAACCTTATTGTTGTGCTCAAATCAAAATATGAAATTTACTGCAGATTCTTTTTTCAAAGAATGCATGGGCTCAAGGTTCTTGATTTGTCTCGTACAGATATTGAAAATTTGTCAGATTCTATCTCTAATTTAGTGAATCTCAATGCATTATTGCTCAAAAGATGTTGCAACTTAAGACAGATATCATCGTTAAAAAACCTCATGAAACTAACAAGTGACGCACCCCAATACTAACGAGAAAAGGATATCAGGATCGTCTAAGTTTCGGCTATTTTTTTCTTTTCTCTCTCTTCTCTGGCAACGGGGCTGCTGGCTTCCCTCTTCCTTCAGCGCTGACCCATCGATTGGTGGTGTGGGTGTGTCAGGGCCTTCTCCATAATATTTTGGCGCTAGGCAATAATTATTTTGATGGCTCTCTTATAATATAAACACATATTAAAAAAAAATTATTTTTCTTTGTCTTTTGAGATGCAAAATCACTAATTAAATTTTTGTATTCGAGTTTAGAAACAAAATCGTTTTCAATTGATAATATAGCCAAATTACTTAATCTTTCTTGTGACCTGGTTAAATGCAAAAACAATTTTATTAATTTTAATTTTAAAAAACTTCTTTCATTTAAAGCTATAGTAACATAAATAGTTAATGGTATTTTATAAGCTATCTATACGTTTGGAAAAGAATTCATCTTCTTTATAAAATATAGTACCTCAAGTGGTGTTTTAATTTTCATGTTTATAATTTCATTTAAAACTTTTGATTCTAAAATAAATATAAACCATCAATATCGGAGAGCATGCCATGTTTTAGAAATTTTACAAGTTTAAAACAATTTTTCTTCAAATTATCATCATCAAGCAATTTTAACTTTTCTACATTATAAAGGAATCCAAAATTATCTTAATATATTTGCTCAAATCTGCTTTTAAGTGAGGAAATGACATGATCAACTATGTATGTGAAATAATTTATTCCAAAAGATTCTTTGGCGTACAATCTCATCTCTTCATTTCCATTCTCATCAAATTATTTTTTTTCTTTTTGTTGTATGTTTTTCACGAAATTTTGGTTCTATATTTATTTGCTCTGCAATCTTTTTGGCATAAATTATAAAAGATACAAACCCATTTTCTCTATAATTTTCAAAAAAAGAAATAAGACCTTTTAAATGATCTTTTGCAACAACAATGTCCATATTTTTAGATCATAAATATTTACTAACCGTGTTAACAAGTAAACAACATATCATATCAAATAATTATGCGTAATAGAAATTCAAAATTTTCAATCTCATATGTTGCTAAAGAAATAGCTTCAATTTTTATTTTAGGATCTTCACTAGTTTCTATTAATTGATATAAAGCATCTTTTATTTGTGAAGCTTGAAATTTTATTGCTTTAACATTTTTAGCACGACTTTCCCAATGTATTTGTGATAATGACTTAAGTGTCAAATTAGAAACATGATCTTGCAAGATTTTCCATCATTTTGTAAAAGAAGCAAATAATGAGTAATGGATTGTCACTCCAAAAAATGTAATAGCATTAGCACATGAATTAGTCATATCACAAAGAACTAAATTAAGATCATGACAACCACACGGTGTATAAAATGCTCTAGAATTTATATCTAATAATCTTTTTTGCACATCTTGATGTTTACCTTTCATATTAAACCTATTATCACATCCTTGTCCTCTCACGTCATTTGCATCAAGTTCAAGATTTTTTCGGTTTACTTGTAAGTACATTAAAAAAGCCTTCACTAGAAGTATCATCCACTTTTATAAAATTTACAAAGTACTCTTCTATTTTTATTGGACTTATTGAAATATCTACATATCTTAACATAAAAGACATTTGTTCTTGATGACTTGTATCCGAGGTATAATCAAGTATAACTGAAAAATATTTTGATTCTTTGATTTTTTTAATAATGGAATTTCTTATTTCCAATGCTAAAATATTTATCAATTCATTTTGTATATTATAACCACGATAATGATTATGGATTTCTCCATTTTGAATACGTCTAAGTTGTTTTTACATTATTGGCTCAAACTCGAAATTATTTCAATGAAACTCAAAAAATTTCCATTATTTTCTTGATAAATCTTTCCATTTGCACCATGAAATGCCAAATTATTTTTTGAAAGGTTTTTTACAACAATAATTCTTAATAGTACATTCTTTCAATGCTCTTTCTCTTTATTTATTTTCTCTTGTAAATGTTTATCAATTGCCTTATTTTTAAGCAATCTCATCTTAACATCAACCCAAATGTTCATATTTATAGCATGTTCATTGCTTGTTTCGTGACTTTTAAGTTTGGCACTAAGATTTTTGTAATCTCCACACTCTTCATTTACTAATTGATTTGCTTTTAAACTAAATAATTTACAACAAAAACAAAATACTTTATCTAATTCTTTTGAATATACTAGCCATTTTCTATAATGTTTTTCTCCATTTTGTAATTTTCGATCGTAATGAATTATAGAAAAGCGTCTAGATTTTTCATCTATTGGAAAATCTAAAACTTGTCTAATTGGACGAGTTTTCAACTATTAAATCACTTAATCTTGTGTTTAAATTATTCCATTGTGCCGGATCATAGATATTTTTAATAGTTGTTTCATCTTTATCATTAATATTTTCATTCTTGTCGATTGGAATGTCTTCTTTTAAATTTTCATGATACTCTTCACAAGTATTTGATGAATTTAAATAGTTATCTTTAAAATTTTCTTCACAATTTACAATTGATTTTTCATTTAAATTTTCATTTGGTTTTTCTAGCATTTGGTGTTTCATGCTAATAACAAATCTATCAAGTGGACCTTTTTAGGATTGAATTAGTTCTTCTATCTTTTTTTTTTCCTTAGGTTTTTTAAATCCAGATTCATACTTTCTAATAGACATTTCTATTTAAAGAAAAAATAATTTAGAGCCCTTAATATTATTTTGCTAAAATAATATGATTATAAAAAGTGTAAGAAACAGTAACACTCGATTTATGCTCTTTTGATTTTGCTTTGATACTCTAAAATCTTATATTATTACCTTGCAATCTCCATATATATATATATATATATATATATATATATATATATATATATATATATATATATATATATATATATATATATATATATATATATATATATATAATTATAAACAAAAGCATGATACAAATAACCCCACAAAATAATATATTGACCCAACTCAACCTCACAATAGCATTTTCAATTAAAAATCTTGTCTTGATTAAGACCGATGCAATTCGACCCCGGAACAAAGGAACAATATTTTCAAGTAAAAATATTGTCTTGATTAAGTAAAAGACAAATATTTGGCATTTGAAAAAATTACGGATAAACATTAGGTAAAGCACAAAAAAAGATTAAAGAAATATTGAGGGAGATTGAGCTTACGAGAGTGTGAGAACCGAGGAATGGGTCTTGTAAGAGAGAGTAATTAATTTTCACTTAAAGCTACTAGAGTTAGAGAGTAGGGATATGAAAATATGAAATCTTACTTTGTTAGAGTCTTAAAAAGCAAAGGATATGAAATCTAACTTTGTTATTATGAAATTTGGTTTCACAAATCAAAACCTAGTATTTAATAGGCTCTACTAAATTTTTTTTGGGCCCTTCTTTGTTGGGGACCTAGGCCTTAATGGCTTATTCCTTGAGACGGCTTGGTGTGTGGGGGGCTTGTGGTGTTGGTTGCAATTGAGATCGCTTAATGTTCATGGTATTGGGTGGGATTTTGAGGCTCAACTTCATTTGGTGGAGAAACAAAAATGGATGGTCTTTTTATGCTTAATTGCATATTGTGGAGGTGGTTGTGTGGCTGGTGAGGGTGGCTTTGGGTGGTTGAGAGGGTCAGTGTACTCGGGGTTTCAACATGAAGAGGAGGAGATCAGCAAGGTGTAGTTGAGAGAGGGGTTGGCAATGGCTATTTGTGGTAAACATTGATGTGGGTGGCTGGAAGGAGGACGACAACGACAGTTGTGGGTGTTAGTGGGGGTTCATTGTGGTTGTTGGTTGGAAAAGAAGGTTTTTCTCTTAAACCTTTGTTTTTAGGGTATTCAGCTATCTTCTTTGATTATTTTTGAAGGAAAAATAATAGGTGAACTTAGTTTTAAAAATTCTAAAGTTCGAAAATCTCAAAAATATAAATTTTTTTTTTATAAAACTCAACCTCAAATTATTTAAAATTCATGAGTGGTTAGACTCTTTTAGCTTAAACAAATTGATTCAGTATAAGGATCCAATTGATACTTAGTTTGGTACAAAAATCTAATTAAGCAATTGTTTATAATAAAGGAATGGTACAGATTATTAACCCGTTTTTAAACTAATATTTCTTAAATAGTAAATATTTTTTTATGATATAAATAACCAAACACTAAAAATGTCATTAACAAAATTTTTTTGGGTCTTCTTTTTTTTTTTTTTAAACAAAAAAAGAGTTCTTCAAATGTTCACAAAAGAAGAATTTAAGGTTTTGCATCATTTTGAATGTTCAAGTTTTCCAAATCAAAAGATTATATTAGTTAGAAGGACTATTGCAAAATAACCCATAATTTACTGATGCGACTCAATTTCCAGAAGAAGAAGAACAAGTGATGAATTGAATGAATCTGTAAAGAATTGGAAGAAATACAGAAGGAGAGTAAAAGAAATTTCAGAGAAAGAAGCAGAAAGTAGAAGGGAGGAATTTCAGTTTGCTAACAACTGATTTCTCACGTTCCTTTCCCTCCTTTTTTATTTCTAACCAACTTATTACAATCAACTAACTGCTAACTGATTCCTAACAACCCTTAACAACTAACTGCTCCCTCTACCAGCTTGCTTCCAATTGTCAGCCAAGTCTGCTAGCTTTCTTCTAGTTGTCAGCCATGTCAGCTCCTATGGTCCAGCTCACCATCTTCCATCCAGCTCACTAACTTCCTTCAAATGAGTTGCATCAATACCCCTTTTCTTAAGAAACCTTGTCCTCAAGGTTAAACTATAGAAAAATTCTCAATTTTTTTAGACTTCTCAGTACCATTCTGACCATCAAATTCCACCACCTTGGTGAAAAGCTTATGAGCTTCCTTGTAGTATTGAGTTCAGCTTGCAAACTGCAGTATTAAGCTAGCAGGAAACTTCAGCACCTTTCATTGCTTCTTCTCCTTGTCAATGAAATATTAGTCACAACCTCCAAGATCAAAGTTAACATAAAAAACACAATACCTTTTGAGTTTTGGCATTGCAGGCAAAGAGTGGTTAAACTTCTTCAAGCATGCAATATCTATCAGAACTTCATCAGAACTCAAGCAGGCATTGCAGTAGAATGTCCCAACAGAAACACCTTTAGCAACCATTCCCCTTTTGTAGGGTCTTGTGTTCCAACCCTCAAATGGTTTAGAAGACTTTGAATCCAAGGAAATTATTTGATTGCTAGTTACACATCTTTCAGTAAGATCAGCTTGAACACATCTAACTTCTTCAACTTTAGGCTCTTTTGGATTGTTAATGACTACAACATCATCATTTTCCAAATAGAAAAGGATTGCTCCACCAACATCATCAGTTACAATGATTTGACTCCAAATTAGCTTCTTGCAACTGATTTCTCCATGATATTCACCATTACACCAAAAACAAAGATTATGAACATAGCTTCTCTCATTCAATTCAGAAATGGTGAAATACTTAACTAAGATTTTTGCTATTGATTGATCCTTTTGTTTATTCTACACAAGTGCGAGGTGGTTGCTCCGCTACCAATTGATACGACTCAATTTCTAGAAGAAGAAGAAGAACAAGTGATGAATTGAATGAATCTATAAAGAATCGGAAGAAATACAAAAGGAGAGTACAAGAAATTTAAGAGAAAGAAGCAGAAAGCAGAAGGCAGAAATTTCAGTTTGCTAACAACTGATTTCTCACGTTCCTTTCCCTCCTCTTTCATCCCTACCAACTGATTACAATCAACTAACTCCTACCTGATTTCCAACAACACTTAACAACTAACTGCTCCCTCTGCCAGCTTGCTTCCAGGTTTTTCAGCCATGTCTGCCAGCTTGCTTCCATGTCAGCTCCTATGGTCCAGCTCACCATCTTCCATCCAGCTCACTAACTTCCTTCAAATGAGCTGCATCATTTACAGAGCTGATCCTTTTAGAGGATGTTGAGTTTTGGACCTCAATTTTGAAAGTTGTTAATCACTCACTGATTGTCATTTTCCTGCCATAGAGAACGCGGGCTTACCCCAAATGTCTGTTAAAACACTTGAAATTTTGATCTCTAGCAGACCAAATACGTCCAGTTCAACGATAAGAAATCAAATTCCCAATCTCCTAGCTTGAAGAACCAAATAAGAACTTTCAATCTCCTAGGTTGATGGTTCCATTCCTATTGAGAATTCCGGGTGGACTACTTGGAAGTGCCAAACTCAAGGTTCGCTGTGCATTCACACCATATTCCATGACAAATGGACCACTAAAACAACCATAAAGAAGAGTATCGGCTGCATACCGTCAAAAAGAAAGAAACAGGTTGCATGCATAAGAAAATTTGGAATGGGCAGGCGAGATTTACAAGGGAGAGGAGCAATTATTGGGCAAGGAAAAGGCTACATGGTTCCTCGCTTCCTTTATTTATATCTACTAATTTTACATTAGTTATAGCCTCACTTGTCCTTCTACAAACTACAGCAGAGAACACTATGCACAAACTCTTCCTAAAAGGTAAACCTGTACATATAGAGAGCCTCTTAAAGATTGTTACATAAGAAAAACTCTCACACGTGCACACCTATCCTCTCTGCAACCTGCATCAGCAAAAACCAAACAGATCGGTCACAATTTTTGCAATGCAGCTAATGTCAATGCCTCGATGGCCTAAACCAATGATAATTACAAACAATGATAATGATGAAAGCAATAATTGGAATGTCTACAACAAGTCAAGGTATTTAAGTTTATAATGACAGTATCATGCATAAACCATGGCAAATTGCAACCTGAATCTATGTACAGTAAACTGAACCCATATTAACTGGCTAATATACTAATACAGCCACAAAATAGACTCCACTAGAAACGAACATATAATTTGCATGTCAGGTCCCAATAAAGATGTTCAACTTGTTTTGCCAAATTTTAGCAAAACTACTATGAGAATAAACAGGTTGGTTTCCAATTTCTATGCAAATAAAGCAATCCCAGCTGAAGTTTGTGATCATGTCTCCATCAAATTGAGAGCTTTTAGCTATCAAATTCCATCATGAAATTTTAAACATTAAGAAATCCAAGAAATTATATTCTCCAAGAAATTTTAATGTACTCTCTTCCTCCCCCTCAATTTTCACGTATTTCTTTATCGTCTATTGCTTACCTCCTTAAAGGAGTGGACATCACTTCCCCAAAGCCAAGCATCACAGCCTGCATCTCTTGCACCCCATATATCATTCCTACGATCATCCCCTACATGCACAACATCTTCTGGTTTTACTTCCAACAACTCACAAGCTTTAAGAAATATTGTTGGATTCGGCTTCTCAGCTGCAACCTGTTTAGAGAAAGAGCGAAGAATGATTGCCTATCCCAAGGAAATTTATTCTTCATCTAATTTGTTTTGTTATATGAAAAGATTCTTAATATCATTACAATATCACCAAATGCTAAATACTTCATGCATATGATCAATTTTAGAAGCAAAAGAAAAAAAAAATGAAACAAAATTCAATCATTTAAAGTTTGGATGTTAAGTTTCTCTTCCAAAAAATCAATTTCACTTTAGTTTACATGATAATATGGAAAGAACCTTATGGAGAGTACAGACCTTTAACCACTTTGAAATATCCATAAATGAACTATGAGACAAGAAAGCAAATCTACAAATATGGACCAACTTAGTCTCTGAGTTTCTTAAGAACCAGGAGTATCTGATTACTTATGAGCAACACTTAACCCGTCTATTATTATCTTATAGAGTTAATAATATAATACGTGTGTGCAATTCGTGAATTGTTTTACAATCAAGAGTGTCGACATTTATTTTTTTCAAATAGATTTGTGGATTCTCAAAATTGCAGCAATCAAGTGCAATTTGAAGAGGTTGGCAGTACGAGTTGGAAACTTTGCTGAAGTGTCATATTAGCAATGAGGTGGCATGTATGGCACGAATACTAAGGGACGTCATGACATTGATGACTAGGAGAGGGAAAGTTCTCTTCTTTTTCTATACTTTTTTAATAAAATTAAAAAAAAAATTAAATAAGAAAAACACTTTCGAAAGGGAAATTTCCTTCCTTTTTTTTTTTAATTTTTTTAATAAAATATAAAAACATATTAAAAAAATTAAATGTAGATAAAAAAACACACTTTTGGAGGGAAATTTCCATCCTTTTTTTTACTTGGTTAATTTTTTGTCATCTTTCCATATTTTATTGGAATTGTAATTGGGGTGGGTGGGGCGCTCCCTCCGAAAGTGTTTCCTAGTCATCAGTGCCACGACATCCATTAGTATCCATGTCATACCTGCCACCTCATCACTGAGATGATACCTCAACAAAGTTTTCAAGTCATACCTACCACCTCTTCAAATTTCACTTGATTGCTACAATTTTGAGAGTCCACACATCCATTAGAAAAAAATAAATGTTGATACACTCAATTGTAAAAATTCACAAAGTGCACACATTTATTATGTTATTAACTCCATCTGATATACAGCATATGAAAAATAAGAGATCATATTTCAGTTCATGCATTCTTTTTCTCATGGGTTTGGGGGGGAACTGTGGGGGAGAGAGAGAGAGAGATTTTCTTACTTCTGCCGAAACTGCCACAGCATCAAACCAGTGATCACAGTTTAACGCTCGTAAGAGAGGTCTAAGGCGAGTGTCAAAGTTAGACACAACAGCCAATTTTACACCTGCTTTTCTTATGGCCTCAAACACTTTCTCAGCATCAGGATCACAGAGATGCCAGGCCTTGAGATAAACAGCACATGAAAAAAGTCATAACTTAAATAACAAATGCTTTACAAAGGTGAAAATTTTTCTATTCTGAAACAATCTACCATACCTTCTCAGTGGTATAGTAGTTATAAACCTCTTCAAAGTACTGAGTATCTGAGCAGCCAGTGGAAGAACTGACTATATACTGCCAGAAAGGCCTCCCGTCATTTACATATCTGTAATGGATTATTTAAAAAATATATCATGCTGTTGATCACAAAAATAAAATAAAATAAAAAATAAAAAATTTCTACTTCATGATATGGTCATTTTTCCTACATGTTTTTATTGTGGAGTGCCGATAATATTTGACAGTCATATACTCCATAAGCAACAATGGCTATTGCCATGTCAACAATATGCCTTTGCACATTGAACCTCAAAGGAAGGTCCTAGGAAGATACTGACTTGCCATTACAAGACCCTCAGAAGAAGAAAAAGCTGAGAATATCAGAATAATGACATGAAATCAAATAACTTTCACAAAGTAGCATGTTTGGAAAATATGGAATGCTATATAGATGATACCTAACAATGCTGAACATAAATAACATTAAAATGGAACTGATTCTTTTCTATGTGTTAATATTTCTATTTATGCTTTCAGTTTGTGTCCCAGAATCACTGAGATCCCTTGGAACGCATTCTTAGAATTTATTCCAGCATCCATTTAAGGAAATTTTAATTTGTTTAACAGTACAGTCTGTCCTTATCGTATCAGATACTCTAATGAAAACATGCCCTGCAGACTGAAAATGAAATGCTTTAACCATTCTTTACACAATAAGCTAGAAGGATCATGCCAATTAAAAAAAAACACGCCCATGCTTAATATAAACAATATATTTAAGCAAATTTGCAAAAGATCTTAGCCCAATGACTATGATTTGTCTACTCAAATCATTTGCAGGGATGTTATAAGCAGTTGCAGTTACAAGCAACTTGCATGTGAATTCTAGATTGTTACACATGACGAATTAGGTATTACGTATCTGTCAAATGGAATGAAGTTTACTAAAGAATCTAACTTATTAACTGCATTATCTGGCTTAATGCAAGGAAAAGCAAAGAACACTCAGAATGAACCATTTTAACAATCCTGACGTAATAAAAAAATGTCATGAATCTCTTTGCTATGCTACCATTATTGTCGCCACTCCAACAATCCAGAGAGGCAATAGATGCAAGAATAGCAATCTTTAAAAAATCCACTAGTTCAAGTACGAGGATTTCAGCTAGAAAATCATATACTAATTGCATCTAAAAAAGAAAAGAAAAAGGGAACTGACCTGAGACGAGATCTGCCCCAAGGCTGCCCATAAGCCCATCGGTATCTGTTCAGTATCTCATCCTCAGAGTACTCCACACCATACTTCTCCCCGATCTGTCTATATATCTGCAACAACAAAATAACAATTTATCATTGCATTCATATAAATATTGGTTTAAAAATATACAAGAAACCCAAAAAAAAAAAACAAAGAACATGTAAAATACCAACCAGAATAATTCATTGAAATACATGAGCAAACTACACAAAGGGAAAGGCATAAATCATTCACCATAAATACGTCTACAGAGAAAAGCAATATTCAAAATCCATGAATGGAACAAATCCAGACTCCCCTAATCTACACACAAATCTTTCAACTCTATTTGAGATAGAGAAAGATAGCAGCTATAAATTTAAGCTAGAAGCTGATTTCACCATTAACACGAGCTCTCAAAACACCACCCAAAATTTTTCTGAGAAATGTTAAAGGAATGACTTAGCTACCAAACTTCAAAGAAAATACATCAGCAAAGCCACTAACAAAAACCAAAAGTTTAACACACCACCACTTGAAACCCATAACGCAATCCACACAACACAAACACCCCAAACCCGGAAATCAAAACACACAAAATACAAAAACAACAAAAAAGAACATATATTTACACATTAGTACCTGAGCCATGGGCTGTGAGGGAACGACAAGAGTACCAACAGCATCAACGAGCAAAGCTTTATGTGTAATATCACCATATAAAGACTTTCTATAATCCTCATAATCCTTCACTACTGCAGCTGCAGATGTTGAATACTTAGCCAACCCATTAAAAGAAGACCCAGATCCCATTACCCTCAAAGGTTTGTTGGTACTATTGTTGTTGACATTATTAATGAAGAACCTTGAAAAAACCCTTGTTAATTTTGTTGTTGCTGTTGCCATTACTGCCGTATTTTTGTTGACATTTAACGTTGGCTTTGGTTCTTTTTAGTGTCCGTTGGGCTCTTGGGTGGCAAGCAGAGCTAGAAAGCAGAAACTGTGATGAGAACTTGAAGAAAGAGAGAATCAAGTAACATGGAGCTTATAATAACAGGCTTGTAGGGACAATATATTACGTTTTTGCCATTTTTGTGAGATAAGGATGTCAACTTTGTATCGTAAAGTTTACATATAGGAATACGTGATGTGTTGTACAGATTTTTGTAATTTCATTAATTTATTTTTTTTAATGAAGGGACCCTTTAAAATTTTATATCAAATTGATTACTTTCTTATGATGAAAAGAATTATTAAACCTTTGGTTATTAAAATTCATCGTACCTTCAAAAAAAAAAAACATTATATTTTTCACATTCGCATATAAAATGTAAAATAAACCTTACGAGAACTTCTATAATAGATGTATGACTATAAAAACACATATCAATAATAATGAGAAAAATATAAAATAAAACTTATATCCATGACAACATTTGTAATATAGTTACATATCTAAAAGGAGGGAGTTTAACTTTAGAATTCAAATTTTTTTAAGTAAATATACACATTTGTTTTTATATAATACTCAAAATTTATTATATGTCTCTACGTTTTTAATTGTATTCTATTTATTCCTAAAAGTGTTTGAAATATTTAATATGTCCTTTCCATCAATTTTTTTAACCAAATAATTTTTTTAAACTGAAATATCCTTGATTGAAATGAAAGAAAAAATAACTAAAGACTTAAAAAATAGAATATGTAGGTCATTTGACTTTAAGTGTTTTTTTTTTTAATAAAGGGCATTTCGATCAAAAAATTCATAGCCGGGAATTTTGATCGAAAAGATAGTTTGAATATTTAAAAAAAAATCAAGAATAAATGAGATTTAATTGAAAATTTAAGAATAATTAGGAGAGTTTGAGTATTAAGTAAGGACATATGAATATATTTACCCAAAAAAAAGTATATTGATTAAAAAAATACAATGATTCTAAAATAAAATGAAGAAAAAGTGTAGTATAAATGAAGTTCTAACTTTTAGTTGTAAACCATAATAGGAGTAAATTCTACTTAGAATTCAAATAAATATAATTTAATATACAAGTAGTGTGGATATTAGGGAGCACTAGAGAAATTCTACTATAATTTTAAAACCAAATCATATGGTTGTTTAGATAACAATTATTCTAATCTTATCTCATTAAGAATCCTAAACAATATACTTGTAGTGGGGGCTCATAAAAGCATACAAGAGCATGAGTCACCACCTAAGTAATCGAAAAGAACTAGAAAACCTTAAAACAAACTAATATGTATAGATATCCGGGTAATAGATCAATTACGTATGAAGAAGATATAACATCACTCGTCATCCCGTCTTATTTGAGGCGGGCTCGTATTGTTTGCATGTGAAAATGTAAATATAGTTTTACTATTTTTATGTTTTTATACCTATTTGAGTGAATTTATTTTATTATGATGAAATGACAGAGTAATTTGGGATTTAGGCCAGTCTTAGACCAATATCTATACTCAAAGGGGAAAGGTGAGAAATATGAGAATTTTGTCTAATCTTTAGCTAACATAAAAGTATACCGACAAGTAGGTGAGTTTCTATAGATTAAGAGTCTATATTGACATGAATATGAAATTACCGACAACTTTACTCACCTAAGTGAGAAGCCACCGCCAACTTCGGATCATGAGTTTAGAAAGCTACCGACAACTTCGTCACATGAGTGGAAAGCCACCAATAACTCTATTTTGCTTGAGTCAAGAAGCGGATAATTGGTTTCAAAGCCATTGATAACTTCATCACATACTACTAGTTACCTCTTTTCTAATGAGCAAAAAACATGTAAAATGACTTCGAAACTACTGGCGGCTTCGTCACATAAGTGAAAAGCCACCAACGACTTCATTTTAGCAAATCAAAAATTAAATAAAAATAGTTTAGGGATCACTTGCAGCCTTCTTCCACATAGATGGAAAACCACCGTCTTTTTTCTAATGAATAGTAAACATGACAATCATCTCAAGTACCGAGTACACATGGCAATCATCTCAAGAATAATCAAACAAAACATTTGATAATTCAATCATCCATAATATGAATTTTTCATCATTTTCATTTATTATTTTAAAAAAATCTTTATAGATTTGAAAGTTACCTAAATGTGGTGGTAGTGTTAACGATTCCATTTCGATTAGTTTTACTTTCTTCAATCTCGATTAAAACTAATTATTTCAACTAGTTAAGAAGGAGGAAGCAACTATTTTTTAGCCCTTTTTAATTTTTTTTTGTCTAACTTAAAGTTCTACGATAGAAATTAATCATGTTTTATCCGGTCTAATGCTCTTATTCTAACCAACAAACAATAACAACATAAAAATTACAATCTATAACATCATGTTGTTCTTGTCAAATACAACAATAAACCGGACAATTTTTTTTTTTTTATGTTTTGTTCTACCTAAAATTAATCAAGTTTCTACTACTACCAACACCAAAACAACCCATACATTATGTATATTTTTTTGGTTTTGATTTTGTTTAAATTTGAGGCTGAAATTTGCTATAGGTTTAGGCTAAGAAGTGGATATTGGAGATTGTCGCAATCATGGCTAACGAGCGAGATGGCAGTGGTGGTTATGGAGATTCTAGGTTGAAACGGGAGGAGGAAGATGAAAGGAAGGCTACTATTTTTTAAAAAATAAAAGATGAATTGGATGACCTAATTGGAAGGTGGCGACTATAATGATGATTTAGTTGACCGGAAGAGGAAAAGTTTCGAGCAAGGTTTGGGTAGAGTTTAAAGATGATAGTGGTGGTTGAGCTTCAAATGAGAATGTGGACGCCGATGTTTAAAAGAGAGCATGTGAAGGTGGTCAACCAAAGGAAATGGGCTGGTTGTTTAGAGGAGAAGGATTAGTGAAGGCATCGGTTAAAAGAGAGTGAGGCTAGTGATTTGGAGGAGATGCGGACTGGTTGGTGGTGGTCTCGAGTCGGAGAGTGAGGCTAGCTATTTGAAAGAGATACGAGCTAGTTGGTTATGGTCTCGAGTCGAAGATGGTGGTGGTGGTTGGTCGAACGAGAGCAATAAGGGTGTTGTGATAGAGGAGCTCTCAATCGATTGACGTGAGTGAAAAGATAGAGTTCGGCTAGAATTCTTTTTTTTTTTTAAGGGAAGATGGCTGAATAGTGGTTGGTCTATAAAATGAGAAGGAGGTGGATATTTATTGGTAGAAATTAAGGATTTTGGGTAAAGATTAATTTCGATCTCTCGATTCCTCTTGACTCATTGATTTAAGTGCAATTTTGATTGTTTAAATTTCAATAGCATGCCTAAATTACAATTAATTAGGACCTTTTTTTAGATTTCTTTCAATCATATCCTTTCTTTTTTTATTTAAAGGTTTAGGGGGTTTCGGGTTTTTTAATTGTACCTTAAATTGGGGTTCTCTCGATTCTCAAACTTCTTATTTTTTAATTGGACCCCATAACTAATTTGAGTCACCTATTTAAATTGAATTATTTTCTCTTCTTTTTTTATATATATTTGGTATTTGTTGTTTATTTTTATTTTATATTTTTGCCTAAAATAAAAAGGAAATAATAAAAATGAAAAGTTGGATATTAACAGTTATCATCTCTTTACAATGCTTTCATTACAAGGTCATTTTTTGACTTAGTATAAAAAGCTTTCTAAAAGAAAACAAGAATTAAAACGAAACACACGGTGCAAACAACGAGTAAACATAAGAAGCAATCATCAAATTCAAACAACAACTGATCATTTGACCAAAAAAAAGTTGAAATAAAAATATGCAATATGTAAGACCATGATGGTTTCAAAAGATGTGATAAACCACCTTGACTTTACAAGATGTGATGGACCTTTCGATTTGGTAGGACGTGACAAACCACTCTAATTTGACAAGACATAATAGACTATTCTAACTCTACAAGATGTAACGGACCATTCGACTCTGCAAGATGTGACATACCACTCGATTTAGTAAAACATAACGAGAACACTCGACTCGTAAGATATGATAGACCATATTGGTTTAAAAGGACATGACAAATCATATTTTTTTTACAAGATGTGATAGACCACTCTAACATAGAAAGAGGCGAGCAAACCATATTGGTTTAAAAAAATACGATAGACCACTTTGACTTAGAAACACATGACATGCCATATTGATTTAAAAAGACATAACAAACCACCCCGATTTAAAAGGATGTGATAGACCATATAAATTTAACAAGATGTGATACGACACCTTAATTTAGAAAGCCATGACGGATCATATTAGTTTAAAAAGATGCGAAAAACTATATTAAACTTAAAAAGACATGACACACTATATTGATTTAGAAGGACATGACGGACTATATTAGTTTAGAAGGACGTGATTAGACCATATTAACTTAGAAAGACATGACAAATCATGTTGATTTAGAAAGACATGACGAGACCATATTAGTTTAGACAGTTATGATAGATCACATTTTTTACTCTACATAGAAAGTTTTATAAAGAACACAAGAATAAAGAGAATATTTACAAAGCACAAACTGAAAAAAAAACATACATAATTCTTTCGATCTATTATTAGGGTGATTTACATTCGTTGGTGGCATAAACGAGTGGAACAAATAGGATATTATTTAATGTATTCCCGGCTTATAAGTTCTATTTCTTCATTGTTAGAAAGATAAGTCATGACCATTCAAACCATACTTTCTCCTTTCTCTATGTCACTTTTCTTGCTCGAAATTAAAGTTTAAGGTTTATTGTTTTCCCCAAATCGGCCTATCTACGCATTATATGGTCATTGTTTATTGTAGTCCATTAGAACATGTCGACATCATCCGATTAATATTTAGAGATGTGGTGATTTCTTTTTTTCAAACTTTATATTTTGCCTTTTGTTTTGTCAAGTTTGCCATC